ATCAATGATATTGGTGGGATAGAAAGAATAAATGCAATCGTGGGTTTATTAAGTATAACCAGTATAAACATTGTAATCAGTATAAGCAATATAAACAATATAAGTGATATATTACTAATAAAATGTATGATGTGTTCTAATTAAAAGAAAGTATATAATAAAGGTTTCTCGCCCTTGAGGGAAGACAATCCTTCGTGATTCACATAAAATTCGTTCCTAATAATTCATTACCCTATATATTCGTTAAATAAAATACTTATACCCTGATCTACTGCTTAAGTGGCATAAGTAGTAAGATCGTTGTTTGTTGCTCACGTGATATCGTAAAGTGTACCGATCTTCCCCACCAAATTTTCACCGGCGCGTGATTATGTGTAGCGCACCGAAAAATTCTTTAAAGTTTGTTTAGGTTAGGGTTAGGGTTAATGGAGCTTTGATAGTAAAATCGCTCAAGGAAAACTTTTTGTTAATGCACAGAAGATGGTTTACTATACAATTTTTCGAGAAATAAACGTTTTTTGACGAAACGAACGTTTGTTTTGAATTTTCCTGATCATGTTACGTTACACCTGATCTCGAAATGTGATTGTTTTTAAATCACGTGCAGGTGAAAATTTGGTGGTGATTTAGGGGTAGCGAAACTCTTTCCGGTTGTTTCTCGACGTACTGAGAGCCTCCGTAGTTGTTATTTTCCAGCTGTCTCGACGTACCGAAGATAGTTGTGGTTGTTTCCAGTCTCCTGACGGACCGTGGATTTTGTAGTTGTTGATTCTGGTTTTGGGTTATCGTGGAAGAACTCGAGCCGTGGTTTTGTTAAATTGATTGTGGATTGAAAGTATAAGCGTCATTGAGTTTTATCAAGTCTCTGATACAAGTAAAGGAATCATACTACGATCCTAAAATCACCACTCGCCAAATCTAAACGCCTCTATTCGACTAAGCCGATCGTAGGTTACACGACGTATCGGATCGATTTATCGAGTTTATCGCTTTTAACGAATTTATCCAATTTATCGCTTTTATTCTATGTATCGCATTGTTGTAATACCGAATCTTTTATTATAAATAATGCAGTGAAGGCCCTTGAAAAAGAAGTTCGTGCTTACAATTATCGTCCCTAATAAATAATATCTCTTAACCCATAAAACCCTTAAGTCCCTAAATAAATACTTCTTAATAGGGATGTTAACAGTCCAGTTTGGTTCAACTCAGTCTATTTTTAGCTCAGTTTGGTCTAATCTTTTTTTGGTTTAATTACAATTTGGTTTTAAGACAATTTAAAGACTTAATGGTTCAATTTGTAATAAAAACCAGTTTGAAACCAGTCTTTAGTTTAAACTTTTGGGTTAATTTATAATAAAAGACCAGTTTAAAACTGATTTTTGGTTTATACTTTTGGTCTAAAAAGCCAGTTTAAAACTGGTCTTTATAGTTAAAAAATTATTAATTATTTAAACCTTTAGTCTAAGCTTATAATAAAAGATCAGTTCAAAGCTAGTTTTTATAGCTAACAACTATTAATAGTCCAGTCTTTAGTTTAAACTTATAATAAAAGACTGGTTCGAAGCTGGTCTTTATTATTGATAATTTAGACTTTAGTCTGAACATATAATAGAAGATCGGTTCAAAGTAGAAATGTTAACAGTGTAGTCCGATATAGCACAGTCTATTTTTAGCTCAATTCAGTTTAGTTATTTGGGTTTAATTACAGTCCCAAAACTATTTAAAAAACCAACAGTCCAAACTTTAGTCTGAATTCATAATAAAAGACTGGTTTATAACTGGTCTTTATAATAAGTTTAAATTTATAATAAAGACTAGTTTAAACCCATCTTTATAATAAGTTTAAAAGTCTAATAGAAGAACGATTTAAACAGGTTTTTAAAACTGATTTGAATTATAATTTGAACCATTTTAAAACCAAGAATAGACTGTATAGGACCAGCTGTCCAAGACTAAACTGAATAATATCTCTATTGACTCAGTATATGTACAGTATGTACATACTGTTATGTATGTTGAAAAAGTTGAAGTTTGACGGATGGATAGAGTGCTCAACGGCCTATTACTGTATTAAAATCATATAGTGGTCCATATTATTTCACTTCATAGACACAAATTTCACTGAAAATTATTCATCAACAAGTTTTTTTATAAATTACACTAACTTTAGCTCTAATTCTAACCTAGCCCTAATGATATTGACTAGAATTATTTTGTCTGTGAAATGAGCTTCAGTGAAAATAAACTGTCAGTGAAATGAACTTGTCGGTAAGTAATTATCAGTGAAATGTAGTATCTACGAAGTGAGTTGATCAGATCTTCACTAATTGCGGGTTTGCCTCAGAATTCTGATACGATGCTCAAAATCTAGCAAATAAAATCCAGATAGTATTAAAATTGCTATTGGGATTTTAAAGTAATGTGAACCAATTTATTAAGCTTTGTATGACCTAATATAATTAATACGTATTGTAAATCGAACCCCACATTAATATGAATATCGCTATAAATTTTACCAAAATAAAATTACAAACAATATGCAATTTTTTTTTAAATTGAAGCTCTAAACTAGCTTTACACTGAAATAGAGCTATTTTTTTAAATTTATTTTTTGTAAAAGAATATTAATAATCGAAACCAAGAAAACTAATCATTAGTGTTCTAAATATTTTTTTAAAAAATAGCTCTATTTCAGTGTAGAGCTAGTCTTGAGGTTCAACTTTTTTAAAAAATAGTATTCTATTTAGTTAATTATTTATTTCATTAAATCTAAATAAGATTAATATGGGTGCATCGATTCCAATAAAAATCCACAATTAGTGATGATCATTAGTCATTAGTGACCCTCTGTTGGACATCCTAACGGATGGATTAGAAACTAACTAAACTTCTATACTAATCTACTAAGCAACAATCCAAAAACTCTGAATTGGAGAGACTTATTCCAAGTCTCAATGTCTTTTGGTTAAGATAAGTATAACATTGGCTCTTGCTTTTATTATTTATTTCTAGGCTTCAGTTGGAAGCTAAAGATGGCTCCTTTTTTTAGGTTTGGGTTCAACAGGTTTCAGTCTTCGATACAATCGTTAAGATTTTTAACGATTGTCACGTGGATCATGTGGTTGAAATTAGATCTGATTTGAGGTAACAATGATGTGGATCAGAGTTTAATCAATTGTGTTTTAATATATAAGGGTCTGGGTTACTAATTAATTCTCTCTTACTCTTTCTCTAATTCTTAAAAGTATAATAGATCGAGATCTCAGTAACAAGAGAATGTATCTTATAAAGGTCAAGTTCCAATCAAGAGAAACTTTGGAGTTAACACTTCTACTCAAATTTCGAAGGTTGTGACTCAATGTTGGGTTCTATGATAAAATACAACTTTAACGAAGATAACAGGGGCAAAGAAAAGAATAACTTAAACGTTTTTATATTAGACGATATTTAAGATAAGTAAAAAACTACTGGAGTTACTTCTACTAATATGTTTTCGAAGTATCTTACTCAATTAAATTCTCTTTTTACATTCTTAATAATCAATTACAGGTTTTTACATTGTATTTTGGCACGAAATGGATTAAAGGTCCAAAGACTCTAAAGATCGTAAAGGTTATAAATACTGTTAGTGGCATTTATAGCCTAAGTGTCATTACTGTCATAAGTGACAGAAAAGGAACCAATTAAAGTAATGCTATTTTTTTAAAATATTACGTAGCTGAGTTATAATAATAAATAAGGTGCCCAGAGCCGTTCACAATATATACTGAAGTGGATATTATTATTAATTTGCGTTACTGATCCACTAACAATAGCTAACAGAAATAGGAATTTAGAGTAAGTTATACGTACATGGGTTTGGAAATGATGTTATATTTAATATGGAAACTATTGCTAAATTCAACTTATTTCTTTTATGTATTACATAGGATCGGGTTTTTATTAATAGGAGATCTTTTTAATAATGTTATTATGGTTATGATACTTAACATGCAAGAGAATAGAATTTTATTAACAAATACAATTGTGCAAATAATACTAACTAATACTAATACTATACTATATATTATCATTATTCAGATAAGAGTATTATTTACTAATTCTAAGAGTAATTCGACTTATCATTCAAAATGTACCAGGAAGGTATCATTTTATATTTTGCTACCTTGATAGTTAGATACTTTCTCACGGTAGTTATTAACTCTTGCTATTAGTTCTTTACTTTTCTCAATAGTTACAAACTATCAATAACATAACCAGCCCCAATAGTTAATAACTTTCAATAACCAATTCTGATAGTTCGTAACTAGTAATCGATCCCAAAACCCACAGCCAACATGACTTACTGACCCATAATACAAAAAAAAAAGATAAAAAAGGAAATTTAACATATTTCTATATCTGATATTAGGCATAACAATGTACGTACATATCTAATATGTACGTTTGTCCAAGTATGCACATAAAATTATATATATATATCTACTATGGCAAAAAAAAACTATTCTATAATATTACTGTATCATATCTTCAGTTTGATCAAGGCCAAGACCTTCTGTGATCCAATTCTTCAAACAAATGCAGGCCCGTGCAGTTTCAGGCAAGAGACGATTCCTTGTTTTACTAATCGTTAAGCCTGCCAGAGAAAATGCCTGTTCGCAGGGAACGCTAGTGGCCTGAATGGTAAGGTAGTTTTTTGCAAGCTTTGATAGAATCAGATACCTTGATTGATATGATTTCCACCATGATAGTGGATTAGCATTTTCTTCTGGAGGTAGTTCTAAATAATTGTTTATTTCTTCTAAAGGAGTTTTTGGTGCTTGATTTTGTTGATGGCATACTTTAACTTTTTCGAAGTAGGACTTTGAAGATGCTAAAGCATTAGCGGATGAAGCTTTGATATCATTGTCTCTAATAAATTGATATGGTTGTATAATAACTTGAAGTCTTTGTTTTAGTAATTCAATTTGATCCGGTAAAAAATTATTTAATTTGAATCAGGGGTCTAAAACTGCAGGAATAGATGAATGAATATCGAAGTAATAATTCCAATATTCTTTTAATTTATTATTAATAGCTAATGCAACCGAATATTGACTAGCAGTAGGGTTGAGATAGGCTTCTAATTCAATAGTCATGCCAGTAAACGCTACTCGAATATCACTAATGGTTGGATGTGAAGCTGAGGATAAAAAAGTAGTGGCTTCATATATTGGTCGCAGAATAGTCATTAGATCCTAAATAATAAGGATAGTAAATTTCTTTATACTACAGGAAAGTACTACAGATTACTGAACAATTTACTTAAGTAAATCGTTCAGTGATACCCCGTATTTTAAAAAATTATATTTATGAATTATAAATACTTACAATTATTTCTTTCCATTCATTTGAATTAGAATATAAGGCTTCAAGTTCTTTTAAATTATTATTCACAAGAATTTGGACCATTTCTTGAATATTTAGTTGCCGTTCAATCATTGTATACGTAGAGCCCCATCTTATTTTATTGTCAAGAATAGGCATAAGGCAAGGTTGATTTTTAATTGTGCATATATCACGTAATTCATTTATTAATTTTGATAAATTTTTTAACTTTTTTATGAATTTACGCAACTTATGCAAGGTATTTCCAGCAACATCTATACCCCACGTAACAGCCAAATTTATTACGTGGGCAGCGCAACGATGGTGCTCAAATGAAATATTGTTGAAATTTAGTTGAAGTCTTTGGATAAGAAGGCTTCCACATGCGACCATATTTGGAGCATTGTCCTAAAAAAAAAAAATAATTAAATAATTAAATAAAAGAAGTATATAAGTAGTGCTCCGAAAGTGTTATTTAGACCGGGTTTGGGGTTGAACCCATATTTGTTCAAACAAACTTGGGTTTGAAAATCTCATGTATTATTAAAATTACCGGTTATCCAGTAATTTATTGTAGCTCAAACTCTACTACGAATTTAGGTAAATTTTTTTAAACTTGTATAAACATTAATGTTAAGACTAGATAATCTATTATTTTTATTTATTTGGGGCCATGTCAGGTTTTATGTTCTGAGATAGATTACCTGGGTTTTTTTTACACTTTTCGAAGCATAATATGTAAGTATATTACCGTTGTTAGGCCAATTATCATTTCATTTAGATTAAACTCATCCAGAAGATGAGAAATTATACTCGCTATGTTGGCTCCTGTATGGCTTTCAGTAATTAAGGCAATATCAAGTAAAAAGTGCTTGAATTCCCAATTGTCATCAATATAGTGAAGGGTAATGCCAAGATACGATTGATTTGAATCAGAGGTCCAGATATCTGCGATAAGTGAGACCATACTGGATATTTTTGCAATATCGTTGCATAAATTCAAATGTCGTTTATTAAAATTTTCAATTAGGATATTTTTAAGATATTGGTGAGTTGGTGTTGGGTATCTTGGATTTAGTATATTTAGAAGTCTTTGAAATTGGTGACTCTCGACTGTTGTAAAAGGCTGTAGATCTATAACTATCCACTCTAAAAGTGCATCAGTAATAGGACGTTGCAGTTCGCGTGAGTATGGATGGTGATGATGTGTATTTGAAGGTGCTTGAATAACAATATATTGTGCGGGGTATTTACTGCGCAAATGACGGGCTAATGTTGTTGTTGAGCATTTTTTACTATACTTTTTATTTTCACACAATTTACACAAAATATTATCATCATTTTTGTCAAAAAATTTCCAAACTTTCGAAGTTGAATTGGGCATTTTTTATTAACAACAGTTTTTTATTATTTTTCAGAGCTTCAGTTACAGGATTTTTAGAGCTTCGGTTACAGGATTTTGGCTCCCTATTTATAATCTTGATGGCTTAGCCAAAATCGTTACTATCATATTCACAAATTAAATGGTCTGTATATTAATTTTTACGATTTAATATATAATATTGAATATAAAAATTATTCTAATCTTGCATTATTTTTTATTTAATAACTCGCATCACAGGGGTACTGAAAAATTAATTGCAATTTAATTACAATTATTATTATGTACGTACGTATATACATACTTAATTATAATTAGTTGTTAATTGATTAATTGGTAGCAGCGCTAACAATTAATTAATTGGGGTTGAATAATTGCAACTAATTGCCCGGTCAATCAATTATTCGGTAGGCATGTTTGAAATTTTTTAAAAAAAATTTCTAATCAGAATTAAGTAATTTCTTTTTTTTATTGCGGTTTACATAATTTGTGACCCTATAATTAATTTCTTTGATTAAATATTGTAATTGTAACTGCAATTGTTAAAGCCATCCAATTTATCGTAAATCTGATGATAAATTGGCTCCTTTAGGGATCGTCTAAAGCCAAGAAGTAATTTATATGCATTATATGATTTTAATTTACAAATTTGTTAGTAATTAATTTAATCTTTAAACAACCTCTGGCTTTAGCAATCGTGATCGCAATTACAATCATTTAATTATTAATCATAGGGGTCAAAAATTATGCAAACCACAATAATGATAAATCAATTATAATTGATTAGTTATTTATATCAATTATAATCGGTTTAAAAATTTACTAAAAGATTTTTTTGCATCTTAATTGTATGTGGTTTCCATACTACGTCCAATTCAACATTTGTCAGTTTTCACTAATATGTTCTGGGGTCAATCCGCATCTTCATAGGCCGAGACTGATCTTATAGATAGCATTCAAGTGATTCTTGATATTTAATAATATTTATGAAAATAACTATAACCTATTTCATGCATTTATGATTTCTTATAGCTATTTTAATAATTCCTGGAATACCAGATAAAAATTGGCTGAATGATTTTTCAGCCGATTCGATTCAGTTTGTAACTCGAATGCTTATCCAATATGTTTAGTGCGTCAATAAGTCTTAACAAGAAATATAAAAAATGTACTATATATTAATTAGACCTTTATAATAAACATATTGCACGAAGTACATATTAAAAGAAGATCCTGTATATAAATAAAATATTACTTTTATTTGTATATACAGTACAAGTTGGTATGTAGCACTTCAAAATGGCTAATGTTTAACCAGAGTTCCATCTCGGATTGTAATTCATACAAATACATGTTACAGTGAACGAAATTCTGAAAGTGATGAATGCTTTTCAATACATCCATAAAGTGAAAACTCGACTTATAAAAGATATACTAATATCCAAGTGTTCGGCAATTTTTTGAAATAATAGGTCCTAAAATTTTTTTTTCAAATATTTATGCTTTGAAAGTATTAATTACCTGATCTTAAATTACGTATATATGTAATTTATTAAATCTATTATCTGAAATCATGAACTTAATTGAATCGGCAGAAGAATCATTCGGTTAATTTTTTATCAGATGTTCTAGGAATTATGAAAATATCTGTAACCGAAAAATTTCTAGCAGAATATTCATCCCAAGTTGAACAGCCTAAGGGTTTGGCGTTAGTCTATATCACTATGATGGATCACATATTAATTAGTGAGTCTAGTTGTTCTGTAGCATATGTTACTTTTATTATAATATAAAATTGAGAGAATAAAGATCTAAACTGATTTTAAGACCATTATCTAAAACTGATTTTAATGGATTTGTATTGAACCTTTTGCTAGAATAATAGTTTAGACCATATTTTAGACTAGTCTAAAAACTGGGTTAAAAATCAGTCTCAAGATCGATTTAAAAACTAGTCTTTAAGCTAGTCCTTAAGTTAGTCTTTAACCAAATGTTTAGATTAGTCTTTATATCAAATCTTTAGATCAATCTTTAGACCAGCCTTTAGAATGACCTTAGACTAATTTTTAAACCAATCTTCAGACTGATCTTTTAAACTAGTCTTAAATCAACCCGAAGACAGATCTTTAGACCAAACTTTAGACCAATCTTTTAGATTAAGCTTTAAACTGATCTTTAGACCAATTTTTTAAACTAGTTTTTAAAACAACCTTTAGACTGGACTTTAGACCAATTTTTAGACTAAATCTTTAGACTGGTTTTTTAGATCAGGCTTTAAATCAATCTTTAAATTAATCCTTAGCCTAATCTTTAGACCAATCTTTTAGACTGGTTTTTTAAACTAATTTTTAAACTAGCTATTAGACTAGATTATAGTCTTGAAACTATGATTTGAGTTATAATTTTGTAACCAGTATTAAACCGATTTAAGACCATAGTTTGATTGTAGTTTAATTTTTATAGGACTGAGACTAGACCGAATAGAATCAGTTTATTATAGGTTTAAGCTGATCCTATGACGGACTGCAGTTTATTAGTCCAAGACCAGACCAAATAACATCCCTAATTTATATCATACAGCTCTGCATACAGTGCACCTTAAAAATGATCTCCTTGAATAGTATTGTCGTATCTAAAGTTACTATCTATCTGAAGTTGCAACTTTAAATATATAAAGCTGCACCTAACCAGAATTATATATATAAGATCTAATTTCAGGGGCTTAATTTTAGTCAGATCTAAAATCTAAAATTGCAACTTTAGATAGGTGGTAATTTTAGATACGACAATTTTTTGAAAAATTTTGAGTACTATTGTATGCAACGCTGAACGGTAATCAATGTATTAAATAATTTTTAAACCCATGTTACACCTAATTTCCCGATGACCATTACCCCGACAGGCCATTTACTGACATCACACAGTGATAATATACACTTACAACTTATAAAAATGCCAACTCTAACACTATGTGATGCCTGATAAATGGCATGTCGGGGAATTGACCATCGGAAAAATGAACCGAGAAAATAATGTAGCTTGCGACATAACGATTTTACGGAGTGAATTCTATGAGATCTCGCAATGATGCCTAATGAATGATGGAAACTTCCGTCAAGCAATTTTAGATAAACAAAATAAAAATATATACAAAAATAATACAGTCAGACCTCCCTAAATGCAACCTCTCTAAATGCATGACCTCTCTAAATGCATGGCTTGGCTTCATCCCAACTCATATGTTACTTATAGATTTTTACCTCCCTAAATGCAATACCTCTCTAAATGCAGCATTTAGAGAGGTCTGACTGTAATTATAAATACAGAAAAAAAATAAAATTTAAATCGATTAACGACTGCCCTTTTTATGTCCAAATAAATATCATTTAAATCCGTAAGTACAATTCAAAGTTTATTTGCGGTATCATATGCATCACGCGAATATCCATTTACCCATTTACCATTCAAATATATCCTTTTCGAAGGGATCACTATAATATCTAAAACTCAGTTAGATATTAAAGCAAGAGCTCCTCTCAATCGCAGGCCCTAAATTTAAAATATTTATATATTTATTTAAGATGAAGAATGCCAAAATCAAAGTATATATATATGAGTGACGCCAAGGGAAAACTCACAATCGAGCTTTCAATATTCAGTTTGTTTTCTGTGTGCCGTCTAGGGAAAATCCATCATCGGGCTTTAAATTATATTTTGTCAAAATAAAATTGAAAGTCGATGATAGACTATTCCTAGATGGCATACAGAAAACAATCTGAACATTGAAAGCCCGATTGTGGGTTTTCCCTTGGCGGCACTCATATATATTTACCAATTTTTCTGCTATAATTCTTACATTGGGCACCAAAAAAAATTCCATACATACTCCCACGTATATCAATTCCACCGTCCCCTGAGCGCCTTTTAGTATAAAATGATAAAAAATGAGTAACGTGGTAGAAAATCGCAACTTTTCTAGAACCGAGAAGAACGTTCAACAAAAAAGTTGGCCACGAAGTGCTTTCAATTCTCGGTCTGTATGTATTCCTATTCACCATAAATTCGGAAGCGCTGTAGCAGGCATAGCTGAACATTGAAAACTAGAAGAACGTTCAACAGCCAAACTGTTGGCCACGAAGAGCTTTCATTCTAGATATTTTACATCGATAGTGGCAGCGTAACTTCAGAACACAATACACACGCATTAACCCAGTGAATAAACTCACCCTATTCCTACACAACTAACACCTTTGCTTCTTAAACATACAACAGCTTTATCTTCTAACCATTTCCCCTTCTTGTGCGACGACTCACTTCTAACTCTTTCTTCAACATATACGCACTCAATCTCCGTCTCACCTTCTGGGATAACAAAACCAACGTTAATGAAAGACATTTTTTTAAAGTTAAAAAAACTACCAAAATAATAAATAATACTCATGTCGTTTCTTTTTTTTTTTAAAAGGTGTAAATCTATAAGGTGTAAATCAACAGGAGGAGCCGTACCTAAAGTAGAAACACGTTACACAATTGATTTACATTGTAATTTATACATTTTAAAGTACTTTTTCACGAGAGTTATGTAGCTTATCTTCTCTATGAAACGTGAAAAGTCTACTAAGCAAACTTGAAGTTTTCGCGCAGTACTTTAATAATATCGGCTGAATCCACTCATCTTTATATTTAATTTATCTAGTGAATGCTATATACAGTATAAAAATAAGAAAATATAAAATACAAATCTACTAGAACGTTAAAATTCAGTTTGTTAAGCGAACTGGAAAGGAAAAAAGTTAAAGTAACAATTTAGTATAGGTAAGCTAGGTAAAAAATATTGATTTATGCCATTTATTATGCATTTTTATAGAATTTTTTAGAAAAGTCTAAATAACAAGTTAACTAGCCATAATTTTTTATTCAAGATACGATAAAGATTTACTGTATAGTTATATATATGTTATCTCTTAAATACAGCAATGGTATCTTTAGATACGACACTAATA